TTAACAGTAGACGGCGGAATCAATATGTAGATTTTGTAAACAGTAGCCGGCGGAATCAATATAAACCTTTTTCCTAAGAAGGTAATTTCGGCGGAATCAATAAATCCCCAGCCCTGGTATATCCTGCAGGTACCTAGCCAAACACATAAAATATGTAAACTGTCAGGTATAAGTGAAGGCATAATATAKATACGCTCATTGTTGCGTAGATGTAGGTATAAGTACAGGGCTGAAGTTGGTCCGGCGAATCACCGTGTAAAATTCGGTGGTCCGCTACAATTTTAGGCCTTAAATCATGACCATGAGACTGCTGACTGAAAATGTGTGTTAAAAATTGAAAGTTAAAAAATGGAGTCCAAGACGTGTTGTACTTGCGTCTTGCACAAGCCATAGTATATGACTTTAGAAATGTAGCCAGTTGTAGCCTTGTAGGTGTTATTGATATTAAGTTTGCAAGTGGGCCGAATAATTCGATGGACTGAATTTTTCCAACCTGAATTTTTCCAACCTGTCTCTGTATAAGTATTTGATAGTAGTATAGCCATACTGTAGGCGCCTACAAAAAATAGTCTACAACTCACAAAAGTACCATGGCAACAGCAATTATGAAAACTATTATGGACCCAAACACAAAAGTAGATTATGACACGCACTCTTTCGCCAGTGACACCCAAAACACGGTGAAGAACAACGATCGTCCATCACCCGGCGAACAGAACTATTCACGCAGCGACGTTGCAAAATGGACGAAAAAGTTTTTGGACGCTAAAACGCTCAAGCAGAGTACTGTAACGGTTTTCGGCGTGCCGCGGCTAGTGCGTCCGCCGTTTCATGAATACTATTCTGTAAGCAGATATTACGGACCAGCAAAATTCATTCCGCTCATCTATAGAGCAGAAGAAATGTTTCCAAGCTCTGAAGGTATTCCGCAGATTTAAAACCCAAACGCCACTATAGGCTGCACCTATCTACCACACAGCACACGCCCCATATMATATTATAAAAGTAAATCAATTACTGTATAAAACATGTTAATATATGTAATATAAATGTACATGCATTATTTATTGATTAGTTTCTGTTGAGAATCTTAGATACAGCCTACAAGTACCGATAAAATATCTTAAGTAGATCTGCAGTAGATGCCTATAATATGTGTTTTTAGTTTTTAAAATACTCAAATATAAAAGTAATTGTTATAACTTATAAGTTATAGTGACTGCTGACAGTAAGCTAGGTCAGGGTCTGAAATTTATTTTTCATCTGCTATTGTAAAAATATGTTAGGAGCCTTGTATTAAATTTTAAAATCTTAGATATAAAACGAAAATACTTTAAGAATTTCTATCTAAGATAATTTGAACATTGCCGTAATTTTTACGCATTAAGTCAAAATTTGAATTTTAAATGCTTATAAAAAAAAAATCGTGCCTATGTATTTTTAATATTTTTCAACTGCTATTGTTACAATGTGTTAGGAGCCTTGTATTTAATTTCCAAATCTTTGATCTAAAAAAAAAAAACTTTTATGAATTTCTATCTAAGGTAATTTGAAAATTGCCTTAATTTTTACGTATTAAGTCAATATTTGAACTTCAAATGCTAATAAAAAAAAATTGTG